TCCTCTCCTCTATCCATCTTCTATCCGCCTCCCACTCTCTCCCTATTTATTTCAGAACCCCTTCCCCTCCCCCTTTTCTGATGAAGGGTCTAGGCCCGAAACGTCAGCCTCTCTGCTCCGATGATGCTGCTTGACCTGCTGTGTTCATCCAGCCCTGCACCTTGTTGTCTCGGATTCACCAGCATCTGCAGTTCCTACTATCAATGAAAGTAATGCTTCCTTTTGCCAACACATATTTATCTGAAGTTAGATTTAGTGCACTTGTATACATGAAAAAGGAGTAGGCTATTCAGCCCCTCAAGTCTATTCCACTCTTGGATAAGTTCACAGCTAATCTGATTGTGTCCTCAAATCAACTTTCCTATCCTTCCTAATGTCCTCTAACACCAGTATCAGGATCCACACATATCTATGCATCTTAGAGTTCTCCAATCTCTCTCTATTTAAACAGAATACTGCTTTCCTATTCCTCTACTGAAGTGGACAAGTTCACATTTTCCTACATTATACTCCATCATCAAAATTTTGCCCATTCACTTAACTTATTCAACTCTTTTTGCAGATTTTCTACCTCCTCTTGATAACTTACTTTCCTAGCTGCAAGTACAAAAAAAAATGGCTCAATCATCTTCAGCTGCTTCATCAATGACCTTTCTTTTGTCAGAACTGGGGATGTTGGCTGATGATTGCCCAAGGTTCAACACCATTTTCAACTCTTCAGGTACTGAAGCCGTGTTTTGATGTGCAGCCAAACCTGGGTGACATCCAGGCTTGGGCTGACAAGTGACAAATAACATTCATTTCACATAAGTGCCAGGCATTTATCATCTCTAACAAGCAACAACCTAACAATTGCCCCATGAACTTCAATGGCTGAAACCCCACTATCAATGTTGTGGGGTTACCATTGACTATAAACTAAACTGGCCATTTGCACCTTCCAATCCCACAACCTCTACAATCTAGAAGGACAATGGTAGCAGATGCATGGGAACATCATCACCTGCAAATTCCCCTCCAAGTGTCACACCATCCTGTACTATATTGTCATTCCTTCACTGTTGCCGAGTTAAAATCCTGGAACACGCTTTCTAATGGCACTGTGAAAACAAACAGTAGGAATAAATGGGTCTTTTTCCAAGTGGGAGACAAGTCCTAGTGGAGTACTGCAGGGACCAATGCTGGACCCCAGCGAATCAAAATATATATTAATGACTTAAATGAGAAACTGAATGTAATATCCCCAAGCATGCAGACAGCACAAAACTGGATGGGTGGGTGAACTGAGGAAAATGCTGAAATGCTTCAGTGTGATTTGGCCAAATTGAGTGAGTGGGCAAATGCACGGCATAGTTTTCTTCTCTGAAGAAGGGTATTTTGGCTATGGAGGGAGTACAACAAAGGTTTAACAAGCTCATTCCTGGAATAGCAGGCTTGAGATATGAAGAGACTGGATCAGTGAGGGCTATATTAACTAGAGTTTTGAAGTTGCAGGGGAATCTCACAGCATCACATAAAATTCTAACAGGACTAGACAGGAAAACACAAGATGCTCCTGATGACTGGTGAGTCCAGACCAAGGGTAACGTTTAAGGATATGGAGTAGGCTGTTTAAGACTGAGATGAGGAGAAATTTCTTCACACAGAGTGGTGAACCTGTGAACTCTTCTGCTACAGAAAGTGGTTGAGGCCAAAACATTGACTATTTTCAAGTAGTTATATATAGTTGTCAGGGCTAAAGGTATCAAAAGGTACAGGGAGAAACAGATAACAGGATATTGAGCTGGATGATCAGCCATGATTATATCGAATGGCAGAGCCAATTGTTCTGCTCCTATTTTCCAGTTTTTATTTCAAGGCAGCAACACACCACCACCACCACCTTGTCCAGAGCAATTAGGGGTGGCAATAAATGCTGATCTAGTCAGCACTGCCAACATCCGTGAATTAATTACAAATACTTTCGCCACCATACATTTGGTCCCCATATCCAACTCAGTGATATTGATTGTCAATAGCCGAGTCCCCAGCACTGATCCCTGTGGCACTGCACTTGTTACAAATGCCAATTCAAAAATGACCATAAATCCTTAACTTTCTGTTTCCTGTTAGTCAATCATCCTTTATAGTGCTAATATCTTACCACTTACACCACCAGCTCTTATTTTTTGCAGTAATCTTTGATTTGGCACCTTAGCAAATGCCTTTTAGAAATCCAAGTGCACCACATCCACAGGAATCCCTACACACACTTTGCTGGTTTCTCTCTCACAGAAATTAAAAGAGACATGTTGACTCTGCCTGATTACATTCTTGTTTCATAACTGTGTTGCTATAACCTACTTAACAGCAGATTCTAGCAATAAAAGCGAAGTACTGCAGATGCTTTAGATCTGAAATAAAAACAGAAAATGCTGGGGAAACTCAGCAAATCTAGCAGGATCTGTGGAGAGATAAACACAGTCAACTTACTGTTTTTAATATAGTTCTTTATTTTTGATTTTCTTCTTCATGGTGTTACATGAGCTATTTTCCAATCCATTGGCATCCCTCAAGAACCAAAGGAATGTTAAAGATGATAACTAATGCCTCTATTATCTTTGCAGCCACTTTGTTAAAAAACCCAAGGATGCATGCCATCATGTCCTGGGCAATGTTTCTTCCAAGCACTGCATCTGCCAGTCATTTGAAGTTTTGCACATATCAACTGGCATGGGGATGCATTGACATCTGATTCCAGAAATTGCAGCCATGCAGTGTCCTCCAAGGTCCATGTACAGGCAGGAAAGTTTAAAGGGAAGTTAAGTCCCAGGGACCTGTCACTTTTTAGATTTTGTATTTTTCTCAGCACTTTTTTCTGGTGATGACGACTGTTTTAACTTTCACCTTGTCTTCCATCCCTCCATTTCAAGTGCCTATGGATAGTTTCTCAGTCTTCTACAGCAAAGACAGATACAAAATACCTGTTTAATGACTACCATTTTCCAGTAATACATTATCATTATCAAATCTCTAGATTGATTCTTTACAGGATCAATACTGGCTTTAGTTTCTCATTTTCCAATTAAATATTTGTAAAAAACTCTTACAATGTTTTTTATACCATTAGCTACATTTATTTGCTCCCTTTTTAAAGTCACTCTTTGCTGG